TTAACAGAAATACAAGCGATCGAAAATTGGTAAGAATGTATGGGATTAGCACGGCTCAATGCGTTTTGGACTAGTCAAGAAATACCTACAAAAAGCTTTGTTTTAAGATTCAAATTAATTTTTTAAGTCCAAGGATCAAACAAGTATATAACTCCCAACAGTTATGCAAAGTTTGAATCAAAACTGTGATTTCCTAGCGAAAATATAATCGTTTTAATACGGTCTTACTTTACAAAGAAATGTATGGGCCGCCATGATTGTGTCCCCGTCAGGAGCATAAAGATGGCGGACCGTAACTCCGAGCATCGAATTGAGCTCAAAACTAATGATTTTGCTTTAACTTTACAAACTATATCATTGTAAACATTTAAATTGATGCTGAGACTATAATTGTTTTAAGATTCATAGACTTTTCGAGTATTTTTGGCGTGTATCAAGTCGCGTGGCAGTATTACGTAACATATCTTTGAACGCTAATAACTCAACGAATAAACAGCAGAAAAAGTTTAAACATTCAGATCGAACTTCTATCATGCTCTTCAAGATATTTCATTACCACAATGTTGTGTGTCTGTGATTTTAGAATTTTTTTTCGACTGATGACGTCACGTGAAAGTCGAGAATAGGTTAATTGGAAGTCTTTTTATAATCATACACTATAACTTTATCTGTGAAARTTAATCCTCGCCTCTCCACAAATACGTTTTTGTTGCCAGATTTCAGCAGCTGCGCTCAGCGATATGCCGCTGGCCGGAAGGACAGTGGTGTCCATGAAATCAAGGCTCCTGACAGTACAAGACTTAAAGTGTACTGTAACTATGACAACTCAACAGGTGAGATCACATGCCATCATATTTGTATCATATTTGAGGTATAAGGTGAATTGATCCTTGAATGAGACAAAATCAGTAAAAACATGAAATACTACTATCTTCGTAGGTTGGACAATGGTATTCAAGTCTGTCAGTGGAGTTGCGCAATCGCCGGGATCATCTGAGCTCTGGGCTTCAATTTCCTTGCTTGAAACACCATTAGCTTTGTCCTTCCTGAATGGCCGAGCACATTATAAAAACCGACTAGTGGAGCAGTGGGACGCTTTCAAACCAAACAAGGTTGGTGGTGATTTATTCATTCATGAGTGTGTTAGTTATCTGTCAAGGATACCTTTATGATGGCTATCGTTTTTCGTGCCGCTGATGTAGGATTTGACTATTATAGATTCGCCTGTCCATATACAAGAATTCAAAAGAAGTTGTAAAAGTGGTTTTCAATGGCATAGGATCAAACAAAAATAATTGGTTTGCCGTTGATCGTGTGCTTTCGAGTCCATGGACAGAYTTAATTTTGTCTTCGGTACCGAAAAACTTCTTCTCTATTCCCGGTGACAGACCTAGTGATCGTATCCGCAGTTTCATGATGAATAGTGGCTACGGTGGTTGCGAGAACGACAATGGATGGATAGTGATGGTTGAAAAGAAAGGAGGTTGTGACTGGGAGAATTTGGCTGAATTTGCGATGGTCTACTCTCTCTTATCTACACGTGCAACTTACCATGTAACAGGTCAGAAATTGAAGATAACTAACATTTATTATATGACCGTGTATATTGGAGCCTTGATATTTTATGAATCTCATATATTTTATATAGTACATATAATTGACTGTATACAGCTAATTTATTTATAAAACGTAACTAATAAGTATCCCAAGACCGAAATGCATTGTTGTTTGAAGAACTGCATTTGAAAGCAAGAAATTTTTGGAATAGTCATTTTTGTAACGGTTCTATCACATGCGAAAAATCGCTCGACATCTTTGATTTTGAACCAATCAGTAAGCAGCTCTCACAAAAGATCTAAAAAAAAGATCGCAAGATTCTCTGGTGAGCCTTGGTACAATTGAGCCTTGGTGCAAGGGAGTCTTTGATTGGATCAATGCATTGCAGTCTAGGATTGCACGATGCAGCATCACAGTATTTCGTTTTCTCAGTGAAATTTCTCTATCAATGATTATCATTATTTCGTCGTTGTCATCATCATTCAACATTATGTCATCATTAGTATGATAAGCTGTTTGCAGTATGATAATTAATAACGAAAAAAATAACCACGACAATCATTCCTTGAATGCTTTTCCATTTTTGGTTTCAGCTCATAAAGGTGTTGGAGACATGATGATAATCTATGTGGAGTAGTATAAAATTGATGGTAGGCACTTATGAAAGTGGTCTATGTTAAGGTTTATAGTTATGACGTAGATAACTAGTCAAACTGGTTATTAGAGTGAAATCGATAAACCCGTGAAACAATACTTGACTATTAAAGTGTGATAGGCATAAAAGAAAACAATGTAATTAGAGCGTACTA